TAAGGTTAGACTCGAAACCAACTGTTAATTCTAGAACATATAGGCACTTGGACTGGATTAGGAAATATTACAGGTTGAAGTGACTTGGCAATGAAGTTAAGGATTGAGTCGTGTCTCCAGGTAAAGCGATCAAGGTACTGTTGACAACCAGCGACAACATGAAGGAGTGATTCAGGATTAAGGCAAAAGGAGCAATCAGGACTTTGTGATAATTAATTCCCATCTTGCCATAATAACAATAATAATAATAATAACAATAATAATAATAATAATAATAATAATAACAATAGTGATAATAATATCAATAATTCTAGGTCTTTGAGCCTAATATGGCGAAAAAATGGAGATGTAAATAATCTCCTGTCACTGACATTCTAATCAATTTAGTAACAACTTTTTCAAGTCATTGTTTCAGCTCGAAACCCTGGAAGGAAGGGCGACAATTCCAAAGCACTTGTATTAGAGAGTTACGATTACGATGTACTGATGAAAGCCATTGATTAAGCCTTTCCTATCTCGTGGATGCCACATTTTTATTTAACAAACAGAAGTCCTGCTTTGTTCTGGTATATTCCAAGACTATTACAAGGGTATCCGTAGAGCAATCGCTTTGAATCTGAAATAGAGAACACGATTTTGATACTTAATTTTTTAGTTCTCTTATAGTCAGGATGTTATGTGTAGAATTTTAGGAAAATTGTGCACCGTTGGGCTTAAAGCGTGAGTATTATTGGCATTTAGCTTACAGTGCGACTACTCGAACCGGGGCATTTGGAAGATTATCCAAGATCACACGTTTTTTGAAAACAAAGATTCTCAAGTTCTTTGCAAACGGGCCAATAACATTCATGAATTTGAGGGCTGTTTCCTAAGAGGTCTGGTAAGTTCAAATGCTTTTAAAGTTTTCAACGGTTGCATAGTTGAACCTCGAATTTTATTGGTCCGTTTTCAAAAAAACTCCCGAATCTTATGTTTTCAGAATATCGTTGTGATTGGACAATCTTCTCGCAAGTGCCCCATGCAGTTCGAGTAGTTGCACTCTAAAGTTAGGTTTTGTTTATTGCTTTTCGAGCAGGAGCTGAAACGAACATTCACTCTGAAGAAAGCGTTCAAACCAGTGGTTCTAGGCCATCTTCGCTGCTTAAAATTATGGGTAACGATGGCAAAAAACATCACCGTTAGATAGAGAGCTTATACGATCATATTGTTACCAAGTATCAAGTGTCATAAATGTCTCTACAGACGCAGACGTTTCGTGTGTATATCCCTTCTTCAGTGCACAGAAAACCGTATAGACAGATTCTTTGGTAAGCACGGATGCACAGATAGATGCTGTCTGAGCGATAAGAACTTCGTACCTTAAAAATTCATGAGATAGCTGCACCCAGCAATGGGGGAAGGTGGGCTGTATTAGTTACGAGATTTAAAGCTGTCAGTTGCTCTGATCATCATTTTTGGCAAAAATGCCAGTTCGTTTACTGTTAAACAAACGAACAGTGCTAAAAGAAGCAAACTATGGGTTCACAATTTTAATGTGTCGAGATAGTTACTAGGCAAATGTTTACAAAATACAGTGGGGAATTGCAATGGTGGAGTAACTGGGTCTTGATCAGTTTGTATCATCAGCTGTTCTTCGAGTCAGATAGACTATCACAGAACGGAAACGACCCACATCAATTTGTACCACGTAACCAAGAACGTTTCCCTTACTAGCCTTTTGCTGTTCATTACGTCCACAAAAAAATACTATGGTTTAACGCCAATTCCATCCATAACAATTTGTCTGTCACAGTTTTCATCTGCTCATTTCCTATTTTGAGAGAGCGAAATTGTCAACTTGAATCTGACGATTGCTATTTGCCGCGAACATGATTCTAGTACTTGATTTTGATTTTAACGATGATATATAATGTGGCTGCGAGATTCGTTCGTTGTGTAAGCCTACGAATGGCCTGCTCATTACTAGAGTTTTCAGTAGCTCAGTGCTTAGTGTGTGGAATGTCGTGGGTTCAGTTCCCATTTTTCAGTTTTCTGATCGAGTTCCTTCTCTCCACACTTAACCATCTACTGTTCGTGTATGAAACCATATCAACACCGACTATAATACTTATGAATAGTTGGTATTCCCTGTTACTCAAAATTTCAAGATTTGTTAACTTAAACTTACAGAAACTCGATGAACGCCAAGTTGTTCCACATTCTGCATTGTCTTTCGAGTCGAAAACTAAGTGGGAAAAAAAGAATTTAAGTCAACAAAGGGTTGACGATAAAAATACACGCGAAACAAGAAACTTTAAGGAAAGGGAAATATATCCTGGTACGAAATAGTTCTTGGTCATTCCTCTCAACTTAAGTTTAGGAAAAATAGAAGGCAAGAAATTCAAATTCAATTTAGCTGTTTTTGGTTTTAATGGAATTTCCATGAATTTTTAATACTAACCAACTGCAAATTTCCATATCACGCGGTGGCGAAAAGATGCACAAAATGTAAAGCATAAGTTAATATTAAAGAGCTAAACTCTTGGCATTATTACGAGCTGATCTACCCAGCCTTTTTTTTAAATAGAGACTTAAGTAACCTCCTTGAGAAGATCTGGTAGAGAGAGTGTTCCACTCATGAAATTGAAATTTATTTGTTAAAGCATTATACATTAGAAAACAGTGAATAGTTTGAGCTCATGAGTCATTTCAAATTAGTAGGTGAGTGTAGTCCTGAATAGGACTGTTGTTGACAGTGACTGAAGTTTCAATAACCTGTGCTGTAGTCATCTTCAGAGTCCAAGTAAGTTGTATCACGTCTGTCAGTTGATGCTATTAGGGACTTTAAGATCCGAGACGCGACGGCTGTAAGACGCGACAGGAAGTAAATTTTCAAAGAGGAGACATGTTGCGCATGCTCAAGCCGTTGTCCTGGTGTCACCAGGTCGCGTCGAGAACGTGGGTTTTGCGAGTTTGACGTTCTGTACAAAACGTGAGTATATTTGTTCCTGTGCTTAAATTAAATGATGATATATTCCTCGAAACATGTAAAATCGCCTTCTAGGATCATTGGACGT